TATATATATATATAATAAATACAAGAACTTACTCGGAGTATCTCGTACGAAAGTCACACCATCAATGATTTCAATGTTGCTCGATCGAGTCGCTCTGTTAAGAACACCGATAGTCTTCACGAACATGCAGCTGAAGAACGCATTGTCGTACTCCACACAATTCAGATTCTGAGATGGTTGTACGTCTGTAGGTCCTGCTGCAGTGTATGTAGCAAGAAGTACTAGCGTCAGAAATTTGTTCATCTTCTCGTCGTCTAATCACGTCGTCACGGAATGGAATACAGAGAGGCAGTGGTCGAAGACGAAGCAAACTACTCCCCGGAAAATTTTCGGAACAAAGTGTGACCTGGCCCTGCGGCGCTTGAATCTTTATAGGTGTGCACCATGTAGGACCCTCCCCAGTATCCCCACTCTGGATGAAACGACGTGTATGACGACAAGAAACGATGAGACGAACGACTCATCATTGCAGGTAAATGCCGTCGGCCACCTCCCCAGAAAACTTTCTTCGATAATTTTTAAACAAACGAATGACTGCATGGAGAGACGTCACCATTTGGGCGGACCTAGAAGTCGCTCTCCCTAACGTCGAGAGAAGTTTACGTTTACCACAGTAACCATTCAGAATTTGGGTTAGTAGGGGAGATAATACTTGTTATAAAAATTCAGGGATTATTTCTGTATACAAGGGAAGGATCTTTGAGAAATAGAATTTTTCGTCGTCGTTTTATCTAAAAAAAATTTTTAATATTTCTGATAACACTATTTTTCATTATTCTAAATATATATGTGTGTGTGTTTGTGTGTGTGTGTGTGTGTAAAAAAAGATATATTTTATAATTTAATCTTAAAAAGGTACATTGATACGTTTTATTTTTTAAGACACAGTTTCCTTTCTTTTCGTCTGTAAAATTAATATCATTTTGACATATACCACTTTCTGTTTATTCTTCACTTATAACAAATTGTTTAGAAAACCGACGGTGATGACAAACGTGCATTTCGCACCTCACCGCCATTCACGATTGCACATGCTTCGCGGTCGCGGACATACACTTTTCTTATGAATAGCGTGTGCGTGTGCATTTAGGTGACGCTAAATGTAGACAATTCCTAGTAGTAATTTTCCTTCAAATTGTGAGTAAAACAATATACATATTGCAGAAGATGTAATTTTAAATTATATTAACTAAAATTAAAAATAAAACAAATGTAAAATATAAACAAAATTAAATTATTTTTAAAAATAATTTATAATATTGATTTATTAATAATAATTTTATAACGTGCTAATTTAAATATTTTTTTTTTTTTTTTTTTTTTTTTTTAGGAATCCAAGCATCATAACGTAACTTTCTTTGTGAAATGGACCGATGCATTCTCCTCTATAACCACGTGCAGGTCGTTTACCTTGACCCAGCCATGAGTTCATTGGTAACACGAGAGAACAGATTACATCTCTGATACAAGTTTAAGATTTTCTGATATAACTCGAATTGATAAAATTTTTTACTTCTTTTTTTAAATAATTTTGTATTCATCTGATTATTTTATTATGTTATTATTTAGTATTATAAAATATAATTATTGTAAATAAGATGAAATTATAGTTATTAAATAACTCTACATCTTTATAAGTAATACATGTATATGATAAACTATTACTATAATTTATATTGCTTTTTATTTTTATCACAATTATTTAGCTCAGGTTTACAAGAATTTCTATCACACATTGTGTATAAAAAATTTTATTTCTCAACAACATTAAAAGTATTTAAGATAAAGAAGAAATTATCACATTTGTATAAAAAAATTATTACGCAAGACGTACACAATATTCCTTTTTGGAAAAGAAAATCTAAACAGTGGATTTATAAGAAATCGCACATATCTTTTTAATTACATATCCTTTTAATTTTTACATTATTGATTTTA